CGAAACGTCGAAGAGGGCAACTGAAGACTTGACTCGACATCATCCGCACTTCTTGGACCTTCTATCTTCGGTCTCTGTCGTTGGAGAAGAGACTGGGTGAAGCTATCCAGATCCGCTGCCGCCAATCGTCATGCATGGAGAGGTACCGTTTTTGACATCACTGAGGCTGGCTAGATCAGGCATGATCACAGCTGTAACAAGTACAAGTGCAAGTGTTGTTCATGGCTAGTCCGTAATTAGTACTGGACAAAGGAAATGACGAAGGAAGTGAGGCCGGCCATATCAGGCATGCTCATAGCCGCATTAGGTAATATGACACTATTCGTGTAAGTCAACTAGTCTCGTCCCCCACAATACACGACTGCATATGTGCAGGATCTGCAGCGCAGTTTACGATGGCCACGTGCCCCAAACAGGGTCAGTCGATGGAAAAAAACCCTTTGCGCATTTAAGGCAGTAGTGATCGGGTGTACAGGCGTTGCAAAATAAGCATGGAGAAACAGCTCAAGCGAACGTCACGATTCCAGTCCACAACAACCTCTCAGAACCCTTCGCTATTCGGTCTGACGCTTGACAAGGCTGTCTCCTGCCGCCCATCCTCTTTCATTACGCCATTGACTGGGTTCTCGGGAAGACGCTACAGGAAAATGGCGGCATTGGGCTTGCACCCGGGCGCCGATTGACTGACCTCGATTATGCCGATGATATCGCTTTATTAGCTTCAAGCTTTGGCGATCTACAGTCTATGGTGTCAAGAGTGAATAAAGTCGCGCAATCAGTCGGTTTATCCATAAACGCTAACAGCTTTAAATACCTCGGAGCGAGATTGCTGCCGAATGGACAGAGTAAGGATGAAATTGTCTCCCGAATTGACGTAGCTCGACGAGTTTTTTCCAGCCTTCGAAAGCGACTATGGACTTGATGCGGTATTTCTGTCTCCACAAAGGTCTGGGTGTACCGTGAATCTGTACGCTCTGTTCTTCTATATGGATGCGAATGCTCGGCTATGCGCGTGAAAGATGAACGTCAACTGAAGGTTTTTGACCACTACGACTTGAGGACCATTCTTCGAGTGAAGTAAATCAACTTTGTCTCAAATAAGACAGTCCGCACTCGCTGCGACATCGCAAGGATATCCAAGGCAAACCAAGAAAGGTGAATGAGGTGATTTGGACACATTCTTTGCTGTCAACCTCTCAAGCTCAGTGTTGCTGCCCTCGACCCGTAACCGCTACCT